GCCATGTCCTGCAGTTTCCCCAATTTTTGTCACACATGGCAAATTTCCAGGATTTTTAAGTTAACAACTATTTTTTCAAAGTTTGCTGTGTGTCATTTTTGTGTGCAAACATCCACAGTTGCCATGTTCTGAGATTTGTTCTTTGAAAATTTCTCATGTGACTGTACTTTTTTCATTTGCCATGCCCTATAGAGCAAAAATTTAAAATTTTGTCATGTCACTTGTACTATGTTTTTATTGGATAGCCATCAAGTGTACTACTCACATGGAAAAACATAGATTTTTGTTTGTCTACAATTGCCATAGCAATTTTTAAACCAAGGCCACTTTTCTTTTTGTAATTTTTGGAAATCCTCACTTCTGTTATGGTCACATGACAAGTTTTAGACTACTTTTTTGGATTTGTCACATGTCAAACGTTCTACAACATATTTATAATTTCCACATTGCAAACTGTTTAGAACATTTATTTTTGTACATAATGGCATTTTTTGGGTGTTTTGTGTGTGTGTTTTTTCTCTATGTTGGAGTTATGTAGATTTGTAGTAGTTTCATTACATATATCGTGGCAAATTAATCATCAAAAGGATGGCAACTTTTTTTTGATAGTTCTGACATATGGTGATATGGAGGAGTTGTTTGACCACAAAACATGGCAACTTCTTTTTATCACACTTACATGCATTTTTAATATTCATGGACATTTTTACTATGAATTTTTTTTGGGCACTATACTGGACCACAAAAAGTTATTTGTACATATCATTACAATTAATTTATACATACCATGGCAATTGCATATATAGCATAGTTTTTGGACTTTTCTTGTGTTCTTAATCTCAAAGTAAACGTGAGGAGTGGTGATGGTGGGGTTTGTGGTAATTTTTTTCTCTCGAGTCCTTTTTACGTTTTTCAACGCGCACTTGTTCAACATTAAATTTTGTTTTCCAGCAAGCTGGCGCTCGGGAAGCCCAGTAGTGGCATGTCACAGTGGGGGCGGGGGAGGAGGCATCTGCGAGCGATTGAGCGTGTTCTCTTTGTTCCCCCCTTGCTGAGGGAATGATCGTTCACTCCAGACACACGCCAGATGTGTATTGGCGTCGTATTTTTAAACATTAGAAATCCGTGGTTACCAGAACCTTAATACCAAATGAGTTTTAATGGGTCCTTTAAAATGTCATGTCATTTCCAAATCTTCTCCCACCAGCAATCTTATGGTGCCAATATATTTTTCTTCATGGTGTCGTTGAGAATAACGTCACTTAATTTTTGTTCATCGTTAGCTATTCTCTGTGGCAAATCATAGGAAAAGTCGCGAGATCCCTAGAAAACAGTGAGCAGAATTATTATGCCCATGTTCGACATTTTTAACATGAAGATTAGTTCTAAATCCGTTGCATTTTGTTGTTGTTGAACTTACCATGCCAAAACAATCTACTATCTATGCTTAAATAATAATTTACTTTGTAAACAGGATTGTATATCTTCTGAAACTCGAAAAAAAAGCTCATGCACTCCATGTCGGAGTGGTGTGTGGCATGTCAAGTTTTCCAATCTGGTCTCATTGATGCCTGAGTGCCGCTTGCATTGCAAGTTGTACACAATCATGGCAGGCCCTGAGAGGGGCTTGCATGCCTATAAACCAATTA